GTCCTCAGGCAGGAGGCTTTTAGGTCAGTGCTAGCTCAGGTGTCTCTGGGTCCTGTGCCTGAAACACTTGCTGTCTTCAGCAACTGGAATTTGTCTTCCATTTCTGGGTGTGAACTGTCTATAATGCTTTAGGAGTCACTTGGACTACCCTGACCAAAAACTTACAAAACGGCTTCTCATAACTGGTGTTGGGATGGATGTTAGACACTCATTGAGCGTTGGAGGGTGCACTGTGAGCCCAGATGGGAAATTTCCATTTAAATTATATATGATATTTTCATACCAAACTTATATGTATTATAAGTATTTTAGGGAAATAATTGATAATATGGTTTCTTTTGACTTTTTCCTGACATCCTTACTATTATTTTGCCCTTCCCTCTTCTATATTTATCTTCCTCCTTTCTTTCTAATTAGATCCCCTGCTTTTCTTTCTTAACCACTTCCCCTTAAGATCACATCTGCCCTGCCATTGTCTTCTACTGCTTTTCCACCCTTTATCCCCATGTTTGTCCCTTTTCCTTTGCTGGTTTCTGGAATCTCTCCAGGTTATTTACTCACATCTGAAGATTTGGACCTAGAAAGCTCAGATGAGAAATGATGTGGTTTGTCTTTCTGGGTCTGGGTTCCCTCACTCGATATGATCTTTTCTAGTTCTATCCACTTACCCCCAAAGTTCATCATTTCGGTTTTTTTTTCTTTTTTGCTGTGGAATAGTATTTCATAGCTTATTTATGTATGCAATATTTTTATTATCTATTAGTCAGCTGAAGGAACTGTATGTTGCTTTTATTTCTGATCTATTGTGAATGGAACACCAGTGAATATGGCTGAGTCATTATCAGTGGGGGATGTTGATTCCTTTGGACATATACACAAGAGTAGTGTAGCTTGGTCATATGGCAGATATTTTCATTTACTTATATAGCTTAATAAGGATTCTCCATACTGATATCCAGAGTGGTTCCGCCAATTAGAATTCCAATCAACAGTGAATGAGATTTTTTCTTTTGGTTTTTGGATTTGATCTTGGTTTTGGTCTTGGGTTTTTCATTTTATTTTTATTTTGGGGTTTGTTTCTTTTTTGCCATTTCTTTTTTAGTATTTGTTTTCAGCTCTTTTGTTGATCATTGCCATTCTGACTGTGGTAAATGAAATCACAGAGTTGTTTTACAATTGCATTTCCTTAGCAAACCAGGAGCCTCATAGTAAAATATATAAAATAATAGAAATTGATTAATTTAAGATGGTAGAGGTAGCTAGAAAATATGCCTGAGACATCAGCCAAACAAGGTTGTAATTAATGTAGTTTCTGTGTGATTATTCAGGTCTGGGCGGCCAGGAAACGAACGAGGAGTCTCCGTTTATAATGTCTTTCTTTCCAAAAGTCTAAACTAAAGCAAACACTGTTTTATTTCCATGTAAATCATCAATTGAAATGCTGTCTTTATTTTCAGCAAAAGATGTACTTGTATCTTTCAATAGTGATGCTGTGGCCTGTTCTAAGAGCCTTCCTTGCTGATGACATCCTGCCCTTTCATTAGGGGTGCAGATTAACTGAGAAAGATGTTAAGTCAGTAACGGACCTTGACCACAGCATCAGTGGCATGGCTTTATTGTGAAACTCTGTCTGATGGAGTCACTACAAACAGACTCTGAAAAAATACTGGTGTGGGGTGGTGGAAGTGATGTCATCCGCATATTTTTCAAGTAATTGTAAGAATGACAAATCATTTTCCTAGGCTGACAGGAGAGAGACATTGAAACAAAAATAAAAATGTGCTCAGCTTGTGAGTACCTAAGACCTTAATGTCGATATCTCAGACCCCATCTATGACTTAAGACTCAAGGGCACCCTCCAGTTTGTCATAGATACCACTCACTTTCCTTTGAACAATGAAAAAGACTCCTGGCGTCCTAAAAATAAGCTGCAAAAGTGGAAGAGCTGGGAGTCTTTTCAGTAGATGAAATTTGTGAGAAACATGAGAAGCAAGGTTTATGGAACTGAGACGCCTGTTCGGGAAGCCTGCTCTTCCATAACAGAATGTACTGTTGTCGGGCATTCATTGAGAAATGCAATAGCTTCCTCGTTCCACTTGCTGAGATTTCTGTATGAGAAATTTATAAATATAGAAATTTCTGTACTTCTCCTACGGATAACTGGAGAACTGTGACGAATTTCAGTTGTATACCCATTGGATGCATTTTCCCATTACATAATAACTAGAGAAAGCCCAAATGCTGAAATATTTTACAGCAATTAGCGCTGTTGTACTCACAGGCATTCTTTCTTCCTTCGCATCCGATTGGCTCCCTGGGCGCATCCTTCTTTGTTGTTGAATACCCCACTTCCTCCCTTTCTTGCTTCCTTATTCCTGTTTCCCTAAATGCTTTGCTGTGGAAGAACATGTTAATTTAATCTTCTAACATCATCTTTCATGCCTGTCACTTCCCCCCCTGGCTTACGAAGAACAAGTGTTTAAGATTCCCATGGAGCTGTTTTAGAAGAAATGTCATCCCTACTGGTGCACAGTTCAGGCTCCATTTCACCAGAATCAACTGCAAAGAGAGTCTTGACTTTTACTCGGTAAAGCAAAGGTCCAATTGCAACATCTTAGCTGAATAGTGGAAGGCAGAAGTACTTCTTTATACATAAGAATTCAAAAACTTGGCCACACCCACAATTCAAATGTACAGTCTATAATTTCCTAAGTCTCAATTCAAATAAGTTTCCTTATATAAATACAAAAATTCTTGGCATTAGTGTATGGCCAGTCTTTGTTGAGCTGTAGCAAATAGTCACCTGCGGATGTCGACTTTGGGTCAACAAAGGTGACGCTATTGCCTGTGTAAGAGGAAACATAGAATGAGTCCCTGGAAAGAGATTGTTCCTTGACCTGGGTTTCTCTAGGATTGCTGGGTGATTACACAGACTCACAGTCGTCTTTATTTGTGAATTTCTTTTTTTAAAAAATGTTGAGAAAATGTCAATTTATGATATTTTACTTCTGTCTCCCAATGTAAGGGACTGGACATCAAAGCAAGTATCTCTTCTCACATCATAAACTGCCCCTCTGTGGCATGCTAAGACATAGCATAAGACCATGGAGGAGAGGAGACCCTCACAGGGTATATTACTAATGCATCTTGTCTTGTTAAGGAACAAATCTATTATACTCAAAATACAGGTCTCATCTACTTCTTAAAATACTTTGCACGAGTGTATGTATGATGTGTTTGTCAGTGTTTATGTGTGTGAGTATGGTCATGAATATGCTCTCTTCTGGTCTCCTCGGGCACCAGACAACAATGCGGGGCCTCGGACATGCATGCAAGCAAAACATTCACGCACATAAGATAAAAACTACATTAGCATGTGGGACTTTTATCCTGCCTCTCGGAATCTGAAAACAGAAACTGTGACCATTCAGTGTTAGAAGAGCCAGGTTAGGAAACTCTGTATGATGCTCCGAACTGGAAATTGTTGGTCACTGACATCAGCCAGACTAAATGAGATTTACCTGAACATTTGAAAATCTGGCTTAAAATCAACAGACAAACAAAAACAAAAGAACAAAAAGAAAAACTCTCAAAATACGATATGGTGCTTATTATTACTCCCTAAAACAAAAATTAGCAAACATCACTAAACAATGAGAAAATATTACATCATACATATATCTAGGTGCAAACACAAGTCACGTGTATTTATATATCTTGAAATTTTATTTGACCTTTTTTACTACTGTTTAGTATCCTGCCAGAGCTGGTGCAGATCCTAGGAGACTCTTCTACATGCAGATATTAACCACCTTTGACCATGTGTGGGTCCTATTCACAGACACTTTGGACGTTGCTAAATGGTGTTGAATCTATGTTGCTAGAGAGGAAGGGAGACAACCACAAGTACCAAACTGGCTACGCTGATCACTGTAGCACAGATGCTCAGAGCCCCAAGGAAGCAAATCAAGAACCTGGGCAGGCTCTCATGGCCTTGGAAGTGAAAAGGGCGAGAAGAAGGAAGATAACCACCAGATAGGGAACTGCACCAGAAGCCTTCTGTGACTTCTCACGGTTCCCATGTGTAATCCGTAGATAGTCTGAAAATCTGTAGTTGTCATAGATGATCTTGAAAATTCAAGGTGTGTTGGACAGGCCTGTATTCAAAGGATCTGAGAGTTTGTTGTACGCACATCAGTAGAAAGACCTTGATCTAAGTTATTGAAAAATAGATGTAAGAAATGTTTCTAGAGAGTAATTTTGGGTTCTTTAAATAGTATTAGTTTTAAGATTAGGCAGCTACTAAGGTTTTGAACACAGTTTTTGTTAAGTCACTAGAAATAAATAGCTCGGATACAGAAGTGTGGCATGTGAGCTAAGTCGAAAGGCCTAACAAGGAGCTGTAGGAAGCAGGACACACAGTGTGTGCTCAACAAACATTTGTTTTGAAGGTACTGTTACATGTTGGGGTCACCTTTATCTTTCCTATGAGCTGTACCGAACAAGTGTCTGTCACTGAGGCTCAGTCGCAGTGGTGGCATTCATATTAAATATGTTTATCATGCTATCTGAATGAGATGTTAATGAAATAGTCTGCTGCATTGATGTTCTAAGGGGGATTTCGATTTGAAAAAAAACTGTAAGAATAAACTTTATTTCTTTTTGTGGGTCCTGCATTATCAGAGAAACACATGGGTTCTTGTATGCATAGCAAAATAAACCCCAAGCTCGGGCCGCAGAGAAGTTTACCAACTCTTAATTTAGAACCTGTGCCCCCCCCACACACACCTATAATCTCAATTCTTCTCACCCTCCTCTCTCCCTCTTTAATTCTCTCTCTCCTGCCTTCTTTTATCCTTTGACTTTTGGTTCAGAAAGTGACTTGTTGGAAGGGCTGAGCTCAGAGAAAGGAGGAAGGAGAGCGTAAACAGCTAACAGATTGCCGTCTAGGTTATGTTGTTCTGCCGAGCTGGCTGATCTTTCGCTCTCTTTAACTGCAGGTTGTATTTAAAGGGTCACACGGGGACAGCAGGCAAACAGAGCAGCCTGATCCTTCACGGTGCTGATTTCAGCACTAAGGATGCCGACAACGACAACTGTATGTGCAAATGCGCCCTCATGCTCACGGGAGGTAAGTCCCAGCGGCCTTGCTCTGAGCTGCCTTTTGTTGGTTTGAAGTGTGGGGTTTCTTATGGCTGAGAAAGGGGTTTGAACTACTGGTCAGGAAACTGAAGAGCAAGTCCCTAGAGATCACTGAGCTCTGCACCGGGATTTATCCTGTTAACCTGCAAGCCATTGCTGGCATACTTTAAAGCTTGTCTCCCCCTTCATCTGTGATGGCGATGGCCTAAGATTCATTCTGAGTGAATTCTGATTGCTGGAAGTACCAGGTACTCTGCCTTTAAACTAATCTAGGTTGCTCTTCGTGGTATATAGAACATTACTTCTTTTCAAATGCTTTATAATTATCACACTCAATCTTGGTGATGAATTTTCACATAGAATCAGTACAAAAATAGAGAGATGTGCTTCAAACAAAGATACACATTCAGACCAGCTTTAGCAGGGTTTTGAGAAAGATTTTAGCTGCTAGAGCAAACACCATCAAACAGCATTGTATCACTATATAAGAAACTCAATGTTTTTTTGTACCATTCCAAGTCTTTTTAAGCATTTTAAGGGTTTCAAAGAGAAACTCCAATTTGCTTCTAAAATAACTGCAATTTTTATCACATTTAATAATCACTTTTTTTTACCCAAGAAAGAGCAGAGGTTTTTACTTTTTCTCAGAGGCTCTGGTAGGCAAAATGGCTCCTCCTAGATTCAGATATGTTTTTTTTTTTCTTATATTTCCTGTTTCTCTTCCATTATTGCAAGCTGTAATGATTTCTTCTCTAAAGGAATTCTATGAACTTCACAGGTTAAAATGCCTTTGTACTTACGTAATTATTGATTTAAAGAAAACCATGAACTTTTAAAATGCTGTAAACATATACAAAAGTCTTCCAGAAGTTGTTACAGCGATTGGCGGAAGTGTAGGAAATACTAACCTAAAACCCAGGATATAGATCATGAGTAGTGTGGGTTTTCTCAGGAAAGAGGTTAGCTCCAAACATGATGGTGAAGGCTTTATATAAATGGCTCTTTTTTCTCAGAATTGTAATTCTCTTTTTAAATATAAGAATAAGTGTTTCTACCATCAGCCATTTTTACATTCTTTTTGTGCTACTCTAGAAAAATCTTTTCCATGTTAGCAGAGACATCGTCATTCCTCTACTGTGATGTAGAGGAAACATAGAGGATGTAGGGAACCCAGTGGAAAATACAGGGCGTGGTGAATAAATGCACATTTTTTTTTAATCCATGAAATGCTCTGCTCTCAAGTTTTAAATCCGGTAAAATGAAGTTTAAGTTGGCATTTCTGTCACACATTATCAGAACACAGAAAAACATGAAAAGTTTTAGAGTAAGTTTTCCTTGGGGAGGCCTTTTTGCCGTGCCATCATTATCAAAAGCAGCCTTAGAACCCACTTAACCCTGGCTGGGTGGTGGTGGCTAAGGCCTTTAATCCCAGCACTCAAGAGGTAGAGGCAGTGGACCTCTGTGAGTTCGAGGCCAGCCTGGTCTGCAAGAGTTAGTTCTTGGACAGGCTCCACAGCTACAGAGAAACCTTGTCTAAAAAAACAAACAATAAAAAATTTCACCTACAGTGACATTATTTCAACTTAGGGTCAGCCTAGTACCAAGGACAACATGACATGAATCTGCTTCTATCCACATTCACATCATACTTCAGTTCTGAATGTGTCACTTGGCATCATACTTCGACCTCATTAAGCATATTAAAGTTACCTATATGTAACTCCGAGATCTATACCTAAGATACTGACATTCATGCCTGTGATTTCCAGTTCTCAGCTGTCAGAATGATTTTAGCAATTATTTATCAATTATTACCAGCTACATATCTCAGAACGATTTTAAAGTCATAGTCGAGGAATGTGTCTTGCATCAGCCCTCTGGTTCCATAACCAACATTATTGATAGCTTCATATAAAAACTTGAATGTTCCAGTCAATGTTTGTTTCAGCGTTGAAATAGACTACATATTCTCCATTTACATTTTGACAGATACATTTTTGTAGTAAATAAATACAGTCCTTGAACAACCAACAGTGAGTTCCTTCAACTGTGTTTTTAGAAGAGCACCCTCTGTGTTCATGTTTCTGTCAGGATTATTCTGACAAGGTGTGAAGAGGGGAATTCACTTCTTGGCCATTGACAAGCTACCACTACTCAGGGTTATGATGTTACTTCTGCCTCACATGACACAACTCTCTCGGAAACTTTCATCCATGATTATTCTTGGATTCGTTTCTTACTCACTATTCAAAACATACGTTGGGAAGAGAAAAATCTCTGCTCATTGCTTGGTCTAGAAGGGTCTAAGTAAATGTGTTTTTGTCATAAACACCAATACCCTATCAAATATCCTTTTGAGAGAAGCCAGGTCTTGTAAAGCCATTCACACTGAAAAGTTAAGCCGTGGAATTTAGGGAGCTGAGAGCTGGAAATCAGAGGCATGAATGTCAACAGCCGTCCAAGTCACTGGAGCATGGCCTGGACCGTATGTGCTACGGAGCTGCTGCTCACCGCTGTGTCTGGTCCTCATCACATTTCCCTTAGAGATCAGACCGCTCTGTTGTCTGATGAGTTTTCCTTTCCTTTGCATTGAACATCCTGCTTGAGCTCACTCCGGCAGGATTTTGACTCTTTTAAGCAACAGGAGTCTTCACAGTTTGAAAGTAAGAATTTGTGGGGTTTGTCATCTGCTCTAGAGTTTCAAGGCTGAAGTAAGATGCAATACTCGCTAGCTGCCCTGGAGCATTTTATTTAAGAACACGGAAGGGTTTGAGCCAAAGGCTGTGGCGCCATTGTCACCTTTGTCTGTTAAAGGCTGGAAACCAGAAGATGAACTTAACTGAAAGCCGACAGGATTGTAGAGAGATGCAAAATGGAGCATTTTGAGCAATTGTCTTCTTTCCTAATATCCTTAGTTCTTCCAACCAACTTAACATATATTTTCTAAGTATGGGTTAAATGAACTGCTACTAGAAAAATTAACTGAGCAAATTAGAGCTCATCTCAGTTTTAAAAAAAAAGGTTATCAGAAAAATTATGCACAAGGAATGAGGTAACCTTGCATGTAACAGCTTTATTGAGAAAACATAGAATATGGCAGAATTGTAAAGAGCAAGGAAGAAACTTCAGACTGAGCATCCCGGAGTCAGTGTCTTCCCCATCGAAGACACGCAAAGAAATGTAGAGAAGGCTTTTATTTTAAAGAATTTAGTTATGATTCTTCCTGGAGTGTGGGTATGGTAAAAACAGTATCAGCCTTTCTTCTGGTTCTGTGTTTCTAGCCTTCCATGTTGTCATTGTAGTGTTAATAAGGAAAAACAAATGCAAGACATAGGTGAAAATTTGTATGCCCAACATTGTACGCACACCATGGGCTGAGACTATATCGTACATTGTCACGTGCAGAAGCAGACAGCACAACATTCTATAGCATCTCGCAAGCATGCAAACATATTCCCATGTTACCAGGAAACCAGTAATTCTTCCCACCCCATTTAAACACTGAATGATTTTATGTTTTATTGCAAATTTTTATTGTAACAGTGCATATATTTCAATATTGGACACAGAATTGGACACAGAGTTTTCTACTGAAATGACTTCTCAAGTAAGAACTAAATAGAATGATTTATCTGCAGGGATATATATATATATATATATCATGTGTCATGTGATTTTATCTGTGCTCAGTTTTGATATAGACCCCCACCCATATAAAGGACAGAACTAAGAAGCTCTGTCTGGAGTAAATGGAAGGCGCTGATGAAGAGGAGGAACTTTTCTATGCACTCTTAAACTCAAAGAGAGCAATCAATCAGTTTCATTAAAACTGGTCAGTTCTAACTCCTACCTACACTAAGTCAGAGCCCATGCAGTGCCACTCCATTCATGGTTTTGTTTGTCTCTACTGATTGTGCTCAAAGTAGTTGTGCAAAAGAATTGTTCTGAAACCAAAAGTATGAAAATAAAGAACTCCTCCTATTAGACTGTCACTTTCAAAGTAAATTTGTCTTCACCTAGAGTATAGTCCCTGGTACTAAATCAAGAATCTTCCAAATAAACAGTTCTAGAAGTCAGTATAAGCCTCAATTACTAAGCTTTAGTTCTACAATCAATCTAAGTATCAAATAATTATATAAACAGTTTTGTCTGAAAGTTCGTAATAAAATACAATTATTAGAAGTTGCTAACAACAGAGACCAAGTAGCATGGTTTTATTTTACTTCCCTTTCCTTTTATAAGTTTTACTCCAATATGATTTCCATATTTAGTATATAATATAAGAACTCTGTAAAACTGTGACCTAACCTTCATCAGAAAGAATCCATTGCGGTAGAAACTCTGCCCTCTTTTCCCACGCATAAACCATGTCAGCTGACAGGCATGGCTTTCTAAAGCTAACAAGAGATATTTTTTTTCCGTTCCAGCCTAAAAGAGCGGATAAAGCCATACACATAAATTTCTTAGTCTGTCCTAGGACTTACCAGATGCTAGCAACAGGGCTGATAGATACTTCTTTAGCTTGTGTTCTATTCTTGACGAAGGCAAACAAAATACACTAGCTGCTTCTTCAAGTGGTGCACGACGTAAAAGGGACAGAATCCTTGGGAAAATGTAGTCATGTTGGCATTGTTTGGTAATTCAGGAAGGACTGAGCAAAGCTTTACAAGATGAGAGGCCAGCCTCACATTGTATGTTTAAATGTTACCAGAAGATCCACGTGGATAATCTGGGACCGAGTGAACAAAATCTACCTTGAATTCCTCTTATTTCAACTCTTTTTAAATAGTATGAACTGGACCTGAGCAGACCACAGAAGTCATGTTCCCCTCATTCTAACTGCGTGCTACTTCCCACTGTATCTCCAGAGCCTGTCAGGGTGTGGCACACGACATGAGCTCAGGAAGCATCGGTTTCAATGACTATGTTATCTGAGACTCAAACTTACGGATCAGCCACAAATGATCCTACGGACAGGCATAATAGTGT